AGGACATTAATCTTCCTCATAAAGACAATGTGTTTGAGATTCTTTGTGAAAGTGAGCTCTGCTGGGAAACATTTACTCTCATCACCAAAGTATGACTAGGCAGCTGTGTGTTTGTATGCATCCCCATATTCTATATATATATGTGTGTGTGTATGCATATATATATATATATTAGCTCATGCACTTCCCACAACTGAAACTATACCTAAAGAAGAAAGATCAAATATTATTTTTCAATCCAAGAAGTGGCTTAAGAACAAGTCCATCAGGCTCATGTTTTGGTCTGGTCAGAGTCCAGATTTGAACCCTATCTGGTCTCAAGTTAAACTCCAACTAACTGAGAGACATTCAACTACTCATGAGCTGTGTGAAGCCGTCAATATGCCATCAGGACTTCTCTTTCGTGGACAAAAACCACACACAGTTTTGACAAAATGCCTGTTTTTGGCGAGTGACCTCGCAGACACTCCTAAATGCCCTTAAAGTGTTTGGGGGGAAATCGAATGTGTGTCAGATCCACATCATGTGCATCAGGTTTTAAAGAGACAGCGCTGATTTTATAGTGAAACCCGCTGCAGTCTGTCATTGCTGTAAATCAAAGAACTAAAGAAACAGAGAAATCACTCACTGCTCTGCTCGCTCATTAACTTTTGTTCCTTGAATAAACATTCATCTATATTTAGTTTATAGTTTGTGCATATACAATTTATAGTTTATGTGAATAGTTTTTAACTTGCTTTGTTGTTGTTTCTGGCCAAAATACAAGTCCTCTCTCCATAATATTGATTTTAAGTCGTCTCATCTGAATCAGGAGAGAAATCTGCACAGATCAAGCTGTTCAAACAAAATATGTGGGTGGATTTTGATGTGAGAGACTTTTTCACTGGAGGAAGCGTTATTATGGACTCGTATTTTAACAGGAAGAAATGGTTTGAAGTTAAAGCGTCTTAATTATGGATTTGTTTCTTACAAACATGTAGCGTTTGGCTGCATAGGACATTGATTGATGGACTGGAGTGCTGTGGATTACTTGTGGATTATTGTGATGTTTTTATCAGCTGTTTGGACTCTCATTCTGACGGCACCCATTCACTGCAGCGCATCCATTGCTGAGAAACTGA